AAAACAGGGTCTCTGGTTCTCTATACTCACTATACGAAACACAACAGCATCGTTCATATATAAAATAACTACTGGTTGCATGTAATGCCGGCTTTGCTTAGGCAATGTATAAAATATGTATTCTATCGTTTACCATTACATGATTTTCTTGGGTATTTTATGTAATACCTAGATAATGTATAGAATGTCATGAGAAGATCGAGTAAATTATTAAATGTGAACAAATAAAACATATTTAGGTTTAAAGAAATTTATTTTAAAAAAGACATTGCCAATTACATAAAAATAATAACAATATTTTAGTAAACTTATTCTAATGGTCGCCGAACACTCAGTCAATAGTTTCACAGTCACAACTTATTATAACACCAGTTTTGTTCGTGCCGGTGTACTACGCCGCGCCCCTTCGTCTTTCGCGATGTTCACCTGCGGCCCCTCCGGTCATCTTGGATGACGACTCAGGCTCCGACATGGAGACCGAAACGCTTGCCCAACCCAAACCTGAGGCGAAGGCTTTACTCTTGTACAGCGCAAAATGCGCAAAGGCGTAGCTCCCAAAAAGACAGCTGGGGCCACTCCGGATAAAAAGTCAGCCCAACCTCCCAAACTCGCGTCTAATCCAGCAGCGAAAGGGTTTCCTGCCGAACTTAGGGAAATGCCAACGTCAAACATCATTATTCACGATAAAACCGAATTAAATAATCTCTCCAATTGGCTGAATTTAAAAAAAATATATTTACTGCCCAAAGCTGCAAAGCACTGATCGGGATATTCGCGTGTTCGTTAACTCGATGGAGGAATTCCGCAGCGTCACTAATCAACTGCGCGCCCAGTAAAACAGTTTCCACATCTACGCCTTCCTGGAGGAGCGTAATCTTTATGTGGTTATCCGAGGACTCAAGACCGTACACAACTTAGGAGACCTCAAGGCCCAAAATCTCCCGGTCCTTGAAGTGCACAGAATGCACCACGAGACTGACAAGAAACAATTATTTTAGAATCTGTGCCTTGTCATTTTCTGTCTCCCGGAGGCAAGGAAATATTTGACGTTTGCCGCAACTACAACCGGGATTGCAGTTGAAGCCCCCTGAAACAGGGGCCATTGTTGGCCAGTGCGACCGATTCTAAATTTACAGCCACTCATCCAAAAACTGTTACGCTAGGCCTAGGTGCATCAAGTACTTAGGTGACCACGGCTCTATTCACCGAACCCGAGACGGCAGAGCCTCCAAGCTGTGTCAATTACCACGTAGACGGACACCGTACATATACACAAATTGTAAACTATCGTGGGTGTTCTAATGCGCCGTGAGGAAAGCGGTACGGAAGTAAAAGCCACCCCGGACGTGCAGGCCACGCCAGCGCGTCTCGGCCTCGGTAGCCTGCTCCGAAATCCGCATCATCCTCGGTGCCCAAATCCGCGTCTTAAGCTATGCCATCTCCCCAAGCCCCAAAACCAAAGCCAATCCCACAAAAAATGTGAAAGACACGATTTTAATATAATACTCGGCAAAAGAACATGCGGCTCACCCGATGGTGAATACTACCACCCATGAACAACCGCAACACCAGGCATTTGCATGCATTGCTATCTGGGGTCAATTTGTTAATGCCGTAGATAGATATAATCATTGTAGCTCAGGAGATAAATGCTTGCGTATTACTGGTATTATGTGAGAGTGGTATTTTTCTGAACTATGTTATTGTATGTAATTAAACTAATTTTACAGAGTTTTTCGCGCTTAATTTTAATTTTTTTATTGGCGGCGTTTTTGGGGTTTTGCAGCACCAGCGTTAACACCACTTTGAATCCAGACCCAAGCACACAATTGCAAGACTACAAAATACTATCTGTACACTCGTTCTGCGTAGATCTGTACAAAAATTTATAATCAACAGTTGAAGGTAGCCTTTGTTAGCTATGACATCAAGACGTAAAGTAAAGGTAAAGTGTTCACCGGGAGGTACGTTATTTACTTGTGACTGAATTCACTGCATGCTGCGCTCTCAGCTAATTTATAACGTTATGCTGTGGATAAGGGAAAATCCAAATATCTCAGCCTGATAATTTACAGCGGCTTTACCAAAGCGGAGGTTTATCCTCACTGACTTGCCCAGGGTCTATCTTCCTTTTCCAGAATGTTGACTACCATGATAGTGACTTTATATTCATCATATTCATCATTGGTTATAGAATCAATGGCTCCGGGATAAAATAGAATAGAACAGAATATTTTCTATTCAAAAATTTAAAAAAACATTACAACTGGTGTGGTGGTCAAGAATAAAAAGAAACTTAAAAATTAAACGCGATAAAATTCGTAAAATTAATCATTCCATGTGTAGTATTCCCTTTAACATAAAATCATTATCCTATACCTTTAAACGAGCAATTCTTGTATATATATATATATATATATATATATATATATATATATATATATAATTTTGTGTGCAGGGAGTTTCGGGGGCAATAAATCGATCTAGCTAGGATTTATTTTTAGAAAATGTCTTTTTGTCCGTGTTTTTAAGAAGTGAAAAACTGCTACAATATCGTTAGAATAAGAAGGTAAATTTTGACAATTTATTAATGATTACAAATAGCTTAATTGGTATATTGGGCGGTCACAAAATCGTAATACCATGGTTCGAGCCCAGACCGATCGACCAACTTTTTTTTAGTTTCTTTTCAAGTTCCTTTCTTTTTTGAGAAAATATATTTTTTCGGGCCCTTTTTTTAGTATTTTTTAAAAACACGAAAATTTAAATAAAACTAATAGCACTCATGTTTTATTCAAATAACCAGTTCAGTTTTTTCTATTATGTCGCTAAGATCAAAAAATATTATTCGTATTTCATCAATATGTATAGTATTTGTATCTAAATATAATTTCCAAAACACACGAATTAAAAAAAAACCGAGCGAAAATTACCGAGCAAAGCTCGGTCAACCGGGTACTATTAATGTATTAAACGACTTAATACTCCAACCTTTTTGTAATAAGTAAAAACTTTATTCTTATTGTTTTTTTATGGAAATCCAATCGCACTGTATTACACATTACTGAGGCATTCAATTATGCTGTTAAAAGTGTCTTATTTTACAGTGATAGCTCCATTGGGACAGTAACTTTCGGAAGCGTGACCCGATTTAACGCATAGTTTAACACGCTCGTTTCCTGCTGTCCATCGAAATGCTCGCTGCGGAACATTTTATGTTCTACTACGTTTGAAAAAAATTGTTGAAATAAAAAAATAAAATAATTAATAAAATCAGGCATGATTTTACGGAAATCCATTATATTTTAGGTGAAATAAATTACAAATTTATTTGCTAATGTAACAAAATAGCATAGTAGATACCTTCAGTAGACTACGTAATTAATATAATATTTTGTAGTTTCTTTCAACTTGAATTAAAATAAATAAGAAAATTAAAAAAATCAACTCTTAAACTGACTAGAATGAACGAAGCATACAGACACAAGCTGACATCATTATTATTCGCTTATAATTTCTATATAAACTATATTGCACTTTACTTTTACGTGTAGACAGAAAATAAATTCCGCCACATGAGTTTTTATACGTGGTTGCACGAATTAGTTGTTTCGGGTGAGAAAAGATTACGCTTTTATGTAATGATTTCGTATATTTAACTTTTTAAATACCCGACATTACATTACATAGTTATGGTAACTATGGTAACCGCGGTTAACTATGACATCTGGACGTTGAACATCTCAACCCCCCCGTGACCATGGGTGCTATAAATCTTGAAACTTCGGGTATTTAAAAAATTAAATATACGCGATAAATTCCGTAAAAACTAGTATTATTACGATTTTATGTTCTAATTTGGTTTTAGTACAGATTCGACTTATCTTATATATATGACTAATAAAGAACAAAAATGCCGTTCAAATCTTATAGTAAGGTAATGGTGGTCCTGGACCCGATAATTCCCAGAATATTGCCGTCATATTCACTCGACTCCAATTATTTTTCAACACTTTGCACTTAATTCCTTTCTCTAATCTATTATAGTCACTGTATTGCTGCATTTTGCCAGCAATGCAAATTTCAAAATTTCGTTGCGGTAAAAATTGTAGAGCACTTAATTTTTAAACTTGGCACCTAACTATTACCTAAAAAGCCCCTATTTCTGGCTTTTTAAATGCAAATTCCTAACTTTGCGTTGCTGGCGAGACACAACGGCCGAATGTGTAGAAAACCGGAGACACTTTTTAATGGAAACGAGGCATTCCATTTTGATCCTTAGAGGTGAATAGATAAATATTTATATGTTTAATAGAGAATAGACGTAGGGTTCTATGGGCCACAGCATCCACTTAGCATCTGACTTAATTTACCTATTACTTAACACTTAACTCACGGTATTTACCTACACCGCTGATTGCCTTGTAAAGCAGTACTTTTATTAAAGTACTTACAATTGCAAGTATTAATTTGATTGGTGCTGTCGGGATTGAGCACGAGTTATTCGCGTATTATGAAATTTACAGAACGCGTTTAGCCCTTTATTTAACATGGAAAGATAATATTGATAAGAACGGATAATAATTTGTTTCGTCTTTTTTTTTCAGTATAAAATAAATTATTACCACGTCACTAATTACAGTAACAATATCATAAATTGATGACGTATCGGTAAATTTACTCATTGTTTGTCGAAAATTTTTTTGATCACTGAAAACTGAATGTTTGAAACGTCGGCAAATCCAATCAATTAGTGAACGTGGACATAATTTTTAAGGGGATCAATAAATATTCTGAACGCATTACCGTTATCGAATTTTCTTTAAGCCGCTCGATGTAATGAGTTCATTGTTAATTGCATTTGAACTTTTAAAATTATGTCGTAATTTGTTTATGCATGACGCTATGGTCTATAGACATTCGAAAGTCGAAGCCAAAGTAATAGTTTATTAGAAACAATCAGAAATAGTAGATCTAGTCTGAGGAAAACTACTAGAGAGATGAAAGACAGCTGGTGGTCGCGAAAGGCAGAGTATTTGCAATGGCTCTCTGATACCAAGCAGCTCGGTACTTTTTATGCGGAAGTAAGGAAACTGGTGGGGCCTATGCATAGAAGTAGTGTGCCGTTAAAGTCACGCAGTGGTGAGCAGCGTTTAACAGCGAAAGAAGACGTGTTAAAGCGATGGGCTGAGCACTTCAAGGAACTTTTAAACAAGGGCCGAGTAGCCGACATCGGATTTATCAGCAACATCTTGCCTCCTCCGCAAGTTTCCGAGTCAGAAGAGCCACCAACAATGCAAGAAATTGTCAATGCCATTCAAGTGCAGCCAAATAATAGAGCGGTTGGAGTGGATAGTATTCCTGGTGAGTGTTTTAAGTATGTAGGAGAGCAGCTATATACTACGGTATGGAAACTTTTTGTCCGGATGTGGTGTGAAGAACAAGTTCCATCCGTATTTAAGATGTCGCGCATTTGCTCCTTATATAAAAATAAAGGTGAAAGATCTCACTGCAATTCCTATCGTGGTGTATTGCTCCTTTCTACGTCTGGAAAAGTATTTGCCAGGGTGCTTCTTAACGGACTCATTCCTATTTCGGAAGCGTTGTTACCAGAAACCCAATTTGGTTTTCGTCCGGGGAGAGGTACTTGTGAAGTACCTCTCCGCGTTCGTCAAGTGTAGGAAAAAAATTGCGAGCAGCATCGGCTGATGTTCCTTTCATTTTTCGATCTGGAGAAAGCATTTGATAGTAAACCTCGTGAAGCGTTATGGATAATTTTGTTAAAATTGGGATGTCCGGAAAAGTATGTACGAGTAGTGAGGCTTCTACACGATGAATGTTTTTGTTCTACAAAATGATGTTTCCGTAAATGGTGAACAAACAGAATTTTTCCCCGTTACCTGCGGTGTCCAGCAAGGTTGTGTCCTGGCACCAACGTTGTTTGCTCTTTATTTTGCTTTAGTTGTCAGAAGAAACGGTGCTGCATCAGCTGATTTCGGAAAATTGAGATCCAAGGTTTTCCGTTCACGTGATCTCAGGCTACCCACTAAGATAGCAGTCTATAGCGCGGTTGTTTTGCCAAACCTTTATATTCCTCTGAGTCTTGGTGTTTGTATCGGAGGCACATACGAATTTTGGATAGATTCCATATTTAATTTCTCCGTAATATCATGGATATACGTTGGCCCGACCGTGTCAAAAACACGGAAGTCGTACGCCGAGCTAACATCTGTGGCATGGAGGCACTCCTGATGCAACGGCAACTGCGTTGGTGCTGTCATGTGTTTCGGATGGCTGACAATAGAGTGGCAAAATGCGTCATGTACTCTGAGCTTCAAGAAGGCAAGCACAAACAAGGCGGGCAGCTCTTAAGATATAAGAATGTATAGCGACAGGCAGGTGACTTGTGAAACAAAACATTAACACCTTCGAAGCCAAACGCGTACAAGATCTAGATCTTTTCTAAACGAGAGGAACTTAAAGCCCGACCACCTGCGGCTATACAATATAATTATTGCGACGGTGTTCTCACCTGCTCTAAGTGTGCCCGCACTTTTCTTGCTAAGATCGGCTATGCTAGTCACTTGCAAGCACATGAACAGGCGGAGCAGTAAAATTTATGTACAGGAGTCAAAAACAATTGCTGTACCCGAAAGCGGCTAGGAGAGATTAAAAATTAATTAAGACAGCCGTAATATTTATTCTGACTAAAAATCGAAATTCAGATGCGTTTCCAACCCCTAGGACTAAGATTTAATGGAATGCCGGGTTTGCAGTAACACTGAAACGGAAACTGTTCTCAACACTCACCGTATGAAATAAAGATGTGTTAAGCTGCAATTGGATGCTGGTATTCTGTGACAGTGCGTGTCTTCCTCGGTCTAGCCGACACAATCGTACTACAACTATTGTATAGATGCAGCGTACAGGAAACTTATTGAATAATTTGGGTTACTTTTTATATCAATAAGCACAGTTAGACTCACCGGACGATGGCAAGTCGTTAGAAATCTTTTAATATTCGACGCATTGTGGATAAAATGGTGAAATATACACCGTGCACATGCTAAAGGGACACGTCTCCCAGATAAAAGTAAACATGTATAAAAACTAATTACAACTCTTCACAAGTCCACTGCTGAACATAAACTGCAGCTGAAGTAGTATAGTTGTAGCACAAATGGGTCGGCTCGACCGGGGAAGGACTACGCTCTTACAGAATACCAGCGTAAAATAGGAGCTTAATGGTTCTGTGTTTCGTATGGTGAGTGTAGAGAACTGGGGATACATTTTACTGGAAATGAGGCATTCCATCTCAGTCATCACGGGTGTCTATGGGGCCACAGCAACCACTTACCATCAGGTAGACTATGTGCTCGTTTGTCACCCAAGCTTATTAAAAAAACAAGGAATGCCATAAAGTCATGGATCATGAGCCACTTGCATCCATCAACTTCCTGCATGTCTTACCTGATGGTCAATATTGTAACTCTATCTAGTGGGGGGATGTCCTTCACTTCGTCTACCGGTACGAGGCATAGTACAAATATCATTATATTTCAGTAATCCGTTACCGGCAGCTTGTAAGAGATTGTAACCGTTAATTCAACTGATAATGAATGTGATGTCTCTCATCAAAACATTATTTTTTAAATATTCATTGTTAAGTTAAAAGTTATCTTTTCTTACAATTCATGCGTTAACTACATCGAATGGCTCTTCTTATTTTGCGTAACGAAATATAACACTTAAACGAAATATTCATTTTCTTCACAATGATTTTCTGTGATTTAATGTTTACAAAGTGTTCTTGATTTGTTTTCAATAAAATAATTAACCAAATCTAATCCAGAGTATCCGTCACTAACGGCTATCAGAATAATAGAGGTATAGAATTGGTTTCTTCTTACTGAATGTGTCAATGAATGTAACGATTTATTTCCCGAAGCATTCAACGCTTAGCAGAAATTATGCGGATAGACGTGGTCAGTTGGACGAACGCCAGTGCCGAACAAAATGTTAAGGATATTTTTTTAAATATTAGTAATTTTATTAACGAACATTACTAATATTCCTTTTAACAACTCCTGGTAAGCTTGAAAATGCTTGTGTTAGGAGTGGTTCACGACAGTAGTCAAATGGCGGATTCGAACCCACGACCTTTTGAGTTCGCGATCCGCGCCCTGCCATTAGGCTACTGTCGCTTCATATTTGGGGTTATGTTGCAGAAATTTAGTAACTGAGACGGTCGTGTTAGGTTTTGTACTTGAACTGTGATTTTAGGAAAATTTTAGTATTGAACTGAGCATTATGTAAAGTTTATCAATAAACCCTTTTTAAATAGAAGTAACGACGATTAACGAGCGCATAGTCCACCGGATGGTAAGTGAATGATATTGTTACGAGCTTGAGGTTCGTGACAATAAAAATTGCCGTACGTAAGTCGTACAAGTACAGGTGTTGCTGCCACAAGCGCGAGCACTCGACTGACCGATCACGCCACCGAAACCCGAAGGTAGCGGGAGGGGCGGGAGCGTCTTTAAAAAATTAACGCATTGAGACTGATTTTTGCATCGAGGCCGTCTGTGAGACACCCACGTCACTACTTAAAGGTTAATACTGTTGTGTTTCGTATGCTGAGTGTAGAGATCCAGAGATCCTATTTAACTGGAAATGAGGCATTCCATCTGAGTCCTCAGGGGTAACAACGCATTTGCATTTTGACAAATGTAGATGTCTATGGGACACAGCATCCACTTTCATCAGGTATACTGTGTGCTCCCTTGTGTCCCTTATTCCATAAAAATGTGCGCTATCGAAACATGTATCGTTGTTTTCAATTTTTTAGCGTGTCATTTTCTTGCGTGTCGTTCTTTATAAAGAGTAACAAAATATACAAATTAAATATTTAAAAATGAGATCAAAAAACGTAAAACTATAACAATAAAAATAATAGCATAAAGTAACATAAAAAATAAACACCTCATTAGGTTACTTCGCAGGCATGTTGCCAAATCAAAATATTTTCTCGATAAACCTTTATAAAAATTATCCAGTAAATGAATTTCGAACTATGATAACAATTTGGCATAAACGTATTAACTACCGTTTTTGCTTTGAATTGTACTCTTGGCACATCTTCTCTCTTGGCATAGCACAAAATTTGGCAGCGATAAATGAGTTATCGAAACACGTATATTACCATCGCTAATAATAGATTAGCACATAATAACCGTGCGTGCAATTAACGAAGTAATATAAATTAAAAATGAATAATGACGCCAACAAACGGCCTCCAATCCCCGGCGGCCCCGCTATTCCTGGCTACGGTGGCGAGCATGGTAACGGCGGGGCAGGCGGTGCTAAGAATCTCCGGTGGAGGTTCGGTTGCCACCTACGGTGACTCGATCTGGTAACATATAACGCACGCACCCTGAGGACTGACGAGAAGATACTGGAGCTGGAAGAAGAAGTAGACAAGTTGCGATGGCATATTATTGGATTATCCGAGGTCCGAAGAGAGGGGAGAATACAGTAATCCTCGAGTCCGGCAACTTGTTCTATCACCGGGAGGGTGCCCATCTATCCCAAGGAGGTGTCGGATTTATCGTCCACAAGTCTCTCGTCGACAACGTTGTAAAGATTGGGAGTGTGTCGACAACGATCGCGTGCCTGATACTCAGAATCACTAAAGGGTATTTGCTGAAGGTCATACAGGTTTACGCACCAACCTCGGCACATCCCGATGAGGAGGTAGAGGAAATGTATGAGGATATTTTCAGAGCCATGCATTCCTCCAAAACCCACTACACGGAGTTAATGGGAGACTTCATCGCAGAACCAGGCACAAGAGAAAGCAGTGAGCTGAAGTTAGGGAAACTTGGAGTAGGGCAACGGACCCGTAGGGGCCAGAAGCTGGCCGAATTTATGGAAAAAGAGGGACTCTTTATGATGAACTCTTTCTTCCAGGAGCGGCCCCACAAGAAGTGAACCTGCCTCGGACCATCGATCCCCGACTGTTCGACAAAAAATGAGATTGACTACATTATGACGAACAGACGCCAACTGTTCAGTGGTATCTCAGTGATCTCAAGGGTGAAAACTGGCAGCGATCACCGAACAGTTAGAGGCACACTGAACCTAAACGTTAAGTTGGAGAGGTCTCGCCTAATGAAGTCAATGCTCCGTCCCCCTCGTGTGCTAATTCAGAATCCCGAAACCTTTCAGCTCGAGTTACGTAAAGGTTTTCAGTGCCAAGAAGATTGCAATGCAGTGGACGATTTGAATGACAAGCTGGTGGAAACTGTCCATGCGATCGGAGCTAAGTTCTGTAATACCCGCCGCAGAAGAACACAAAAACTCTC